TAGTTAGGCTAGAATTTGAACTAAAAAAAAAACTAGTTCAAATATGACTCAAGTTTTGCCAAACTAAAAACTAGTTTTTAGACCATATTTGCATCCAATGAAGCTAGTTCTTTGGACCCGATCCCTTGTTCTCCAATTAAATATGCAAAAAAGATAGCACACAAACCTTAAGCTAAACACCTTTTGCCCAATTACCTATTTTGTATAAGTATGTCATCAACATAAAACACTGTTCAAGATCCAGAAAGCATTGTGCTTGAAAAGATAGCACACAAACCTTAAGCTAAACACCTTTTGCCCAATTACCTATTTTGTATAAGTATGTCATTAACATAAAACAATGCTCAAGATCCAGAAAGCATTGTGCTTTCCATATTACTCACTGTACCATAAATATACCAAGAAAAATATATTTACTCGAAACCTTCTGAAGTGACGCCTCAGCAATAAATGTGCTCTCTATGACGCATCAGTCCTTCAGCAAGACCTGTAGAAATTGGCAGTTGATGGCTCAGAACAGGCAGTTGATAGGTTGGCGGTCGACCGTGGCGGTCGACCGTATTCGTGCACAGAGCTTTCTATGCGTCTGGATCAACGGCGGTCAACCGCGGCGGTCGACCGCAGGAGTTTTTGTTTTTCGTGGCGGTCGACCGCAGATGTTTTTGGACTTTGAGGTTGTTCTGGGATTGAGGGCGGTCGACCGTGGCGGTCGACTGCGATGGATCGCGGACTGCCGCAGCGGTTTCGGGTCTGGTTCTGTTTCCAGACCCGCTTCGTTTGGGATTGTTATAAATACCTAGAGGGTGTCTCTAGGGTTTGTGAACAGGAGATTTAAGCTGTTGGAAGAGGTTTTCTTTGGGCTTCTATTCTAGGAGTAATTGGAGAGATTGAGAGTTGATTTGTTGAGGGTTTATGAGAGATTTTGTAACCCTAGTTTGTCCCTCTTGATTTCTAATAGTGAAAACTCCCCCCTCCTTGCCCCGTGGACGTAGGCATCTCGCCAAACCACGTTAAAACTGGTATTATTGTGTTTGTGCTATTGTTGGTGTGTTTGTTTCTCTCTCGGCTATTTGATATTGGATCTCGGCACAGGGGTTCCTCCCCAACAAGTGGTATCAGAGCTCCGAGCAACGTTTGAGCTTTTTGGAGGTGTAGATTAGTTGGGAAGTTCATCTAGAGCTTAGATTGGTGATAAATGTGGGATCTTTGTGGTAAAGTTTCTATCTTTTTCAAGTTGAATCTATTTTTTGTTTGTTCCGCAATTGTTTGGGTGCTTTGAGATAATGACTGTGAAAGATAGAAGTGGGGAGGGTTCTTTTAGTGTGAAGACCGTCCAAAGTTTGAATGTTCATTCTATGAAGATAGATGTGGAGAAGTTCGATGACACAAATAATTTTAGACTTTAGAGATGCGAAGTCATGGATGCGCTAAATGCGCAAAATTTGAAAGATATATTAGAGTTGGACAGGAAACCGGCCGACATTGATGAGAAGGTTTGGAATAAAAAGAATAGAACGGTGTGTGGTGTGATTAGGTATTGTCTCACTCAAGATCTAAAATATGATGTGATGAATGGGACTTCTGCAAAGAAGATTTGGGAGGTCCTAGAGGGCAAGTATTTAATGAAGAGCGTTAAAAATCACTGGCATTTGAAGAGGAGGCTTTATCGCTTTCAATTAAAGAATGAGACATCCATTAGTGATCATATGAACCACTACACGAAGCTACTTGCAAATTTGGCGAATGTAGATGTTATGGTTGAAGACGAGGATAAGGCATTATTGTTATTGAGTTTCTTGCCTGACGAGGAATATGAGACATTCGTCCTCACTCTTATTAATGAGAAGACATCTTTTTCGTATAGTGAGATCACCGCGGCTCTTGTGAATTATCAACTTCGAAAGAAGGACAATGAGACTTCCATTGAGCCGGTTGCGGGGGCATTGGTTGCAAGAGCTAGAAGTCCAAACTGTGGTAGGAGGTCGCAGTCTAGATGGGGGCATCCTACAGTTGGTAGGAATCAGTGTGTCTTTTGTAGAAAGGATGGATATTGGAAAGCCGAATGCCCAAAATTACAAGCCAGAAGAATAAGGAGAAAGCTATTCAAGCTTCAGAGGTGAATGTTGCCAAGGCTAGTGGCGACGTTTCAGATTCAGATTCTTCGGGCTATTCATGCCCAGCTCTTCCGTCAGTTGGTGTTGCCGACTCCATCGAGTGGATGTTGGATTCAGATGCTACTTACCACATATGTCCTAGGAGGGATTGGTTCTTCAGCTTTCAGGAGTTGAAAAGAGGGGATGTTGTTCTTATGGGTAATGATCACAGATGTCCTATTGGTGGTATTGGTACCGTTTAGATTCGAACGAGTGACGGGATGATTCGGGAGTTGGTTGATGTGAGGTTCGTTCCTCAACTGAGGAAGAACATCATTTCATTTAGGGTATTGGAGGTAGCAGACTATAGGATGATCTTGACGGATTCTCGCTTGAAGGTCACATTGGGATCCATGATTGTGATGAAGGGTGTCAGGAGAAGTAACTTGTATTATCTGTTTGGGAGCACGGTGATTGATAGAGCGCTGACGACTTCTTTGGCTAGATTATGATATTGTTTGGTGCTGGGGTATATTATTGGTTATACCGTGCATAGATTGTTGAGGAGTGCTATGACCTGTAGATTGAAGTCCTTTGAGCACAGTGGGATGAGCGAGAAGACCGAGGTAGAGTTTGGCACTTCTATCCATCGATCGAGTGGTCTTTTAGGAGGTGTTCAGTCAGGCATTGGGGGGCCTTCCATGGAGACATCATTGGAAGGTAATCGGTATTTTGTTTCCTATCTTGGGGATTATACTAGGCATATATGGGTTGCAACCAAGTTCCTTTAGTATGAAGCCCTAGTAATCCGTAACAGTTGGAGGAGGTGTATGGGCAGAGAGGTTACCCATCGTACTAGTTCTAGTAGGGGTTCTTTCTTTCATTGGTGCCAAGCTCATGGCAGTTGAAGACATTTCAGAGGAGAGGAGACAGTAGGGCGACGAGATGAGATGGCGGATTTAGTGGGCCGTTCTTTTCTGGAGGAGAATCGACGTTGGTTGTCAAGCAGTGGATTTGGTATTCGAGTTTCGACACGTTTGGGCTATCTTATAAGGTTGCCGACTACTACGTGTAGAGTTGTTAGATCTGATGGAGCTGCTTTAGTTTTTGGTTAGCGTCGGATATTTGGCTACTCAGCACTTGATCACATCGTTGATGTGAGATTAGATTCGATTGCGTATTTGGGATTCAGGGGCTCATTCGGCTATCAATTGGGAGCTTCTGAGTTTGGTCTGAGCAGGTTTATCACTTTGGACTCTCGGTAGGTAGAGAGTATTGATCAGGTCAGTGGGATATCGCAGCGGGTGGAGGGTGATGCTACTCCACATTGGGTGGAGCTTACTCCACATACTCCAGGTCATTTTGCATTAGTTGGGATTCCGGGTAAGGTGACACAGTTTGGGGATCAGATTGTTCAGGATGAGGATGGCGAGTTGGTAGATCCATGTGCAGCTGGTGGATATAGCTTGGATACGGCCATTGGTTCACCTCAGGTGGAGGTGTTTGGATCGTTTCAGTATGGAGCCGTTGGTGATGCTGTTAGCCGCGCATTGGATATTGGTATTGGTGAAGAGTTGAGGACACTTCTTTTGGATTGAGGGCTTTTGGAGGCCATTAGGTGAACTACGTGAAGGCTTGATTCCTTGAAGAGGATACGTAGGCAGTCAGTTTTGATGCAGCCGATTTGGTGAGTAGACACAGTTGGTTTGGGGTGAGTGTTCGCACTCCCATTTGTGTCTCGACGTGTTGTGGATGTGGTCCGTTGTCATGAGTCCGTTGCCATGGCATACTGGATGCAACAAATGAGGTAATTGATTTGGTTGGTGTCGGCTCAGTTTGGAAGAATCTTTACCGAGGTGGTGATTTGTAGAAATTGGCAGTTGATGGCTCAGAACAGGCAGTTGACAGGTTGGTGGTCGACCGTGGCGGTTGACCGCGTTCGTGCACAGAGCTTTCTATGCGTCTGGATCAGCGGCGGTCGACCGTAGGAGTTGACCCCCACGGTCGACCGCCGCAGCGGTTTCGGGTCTGGTTCTGTTTCCAGACCCGTTTCGTTTGGGATTGGTATAAATACCTAGAGGGTGTCTCTAGGGTTTGTGAGCAAGAGATTTGAGCTGTTGGAAGAGGTTTTCTTTGGGCTTCTATTCTAGGAGCAATTGGAGAGATTGAGAGTTGATTTGTTGAGGGTTTATGAGAGATTTGTAACCCTAGTTTGCCCCTCTTGATTTCTAATAGTGAAAACTCCCCCCTCCTTGCCCTATGGACGTAGGCATCTCGCCGAACCACGTTAAAACTGGTGTTATTGTGTTTGTGCTATTGTTGGTGTGTTTGTTTATCTCTCTCGGCTATTTGGTATTGGATCTCGGCACAGGGGTTCCTCCCCAACAAGACCCTCAACATGAGAGGCTAAAATGTCAATGGAGCACTTCTCTCCAAGGGATATTGAGCAGGAACTCTAGTCCCTCACTATTTGGTACCATCAGCAGAGTAGCCTACTAAAAAAACTAAATTACACATTGCTTTAGGCCAAGAAGTTGTTCTATTCTGAATATCACTAGTCAATATGTAAAAGAATTGGTTCAGGGGATTAGAAAGTATATTGTGAGACACTTGTGTGAAATACTATGCTATTAATAACCTATTCTAGACTTTCCTTCTGAAGGCAAGTTGACATATTCTATCACTTTAAGCCTATACAGACCAAAAGTTCCCTCTCATACCTTCCAACAAACCTCCCTCTTCCAACCAAAGCTTACTTGGTATTAGGTTCTAATTCCATTTTTCCAACACGAGCACGAACATCCAGGGAGATTGCCATCCTTCAAATTGATCTAGGCTGAGCAGATTTAACTATTCAGTTGGATGCAAGATTTTAAGGCTTAATCTATTAGCTGATGATGCCAAATCTAAACCTACCCAATTTGTTATGAAGAGTACATGCATAACAGCAGTAATCTTTAAACCTCATGAACTAAGAAAAGTAAGAACATGACAGCTCCCAGTAGTCGCATTTGTCTTTCTAGTATGACATAAGCCAATGTGAAAACAGAGAGAACATGATTGTAGTATCTTAGATTTGTGAATATGAGTTTTTACGTGGAAACCACCTTTAAAATAGGGGTGTAATACAAAAACCATATTTATTGTTTAATTTATACAGAAACCATCTTAAAAGTATATTTCTTTTCAATCAACCACCAATACTCATTTCATGTTGACTTTTTTTGTCAAAATTCCTTTAATACCCATATTTTACTATTGCCCCCCCCACCCCACCCCACCCCACACACACATCTTGTTCTTCCCTCTCCCTCTTCTCCTACCTCTAGATTTAGGGTCCCCACCCCCCTCTTGTTCTCCCCTCTCCCTCTTCTTCTATCTTTAGATATAGGGCTCTCTCTTTCTCTCTCCCTCTTGTTCTCCCATTTTCCTCTCCTTCTACCTCTAGATTTCGGGTATGGTTACAAGAGGGAGAGGGGGAGAGGGTAACAATAAATACGGGTAGTTAAGGAATTTTGATAAAAAAAGTCAATAGAAAATAAGTTTTGATTGTTGATTGAAAAGAAATATACTTTTAAAGTGGTTCATGTATAAATTAAATAATAAATGTGGTTCCAGTATTACACCACTATTTTAAAGATGGTTTCCATATAAAAACCAATTGCCATAGATCAAAGTTTTAAACCAACCAACCCACCCACACCCCCCCCCCCCCAAAAAAAAAAAAAAAAAAAAAAAAAAGTTAAAAAAAAAAAAAAAAAAAATCAAAAGGTTTTACACCTTACAAATCAAGATGCCTTCTTTGGTTTTTATGAGAAGAGGGCATGAACTGTAATTTTATTCAAATTTGAATGCAAGAGAGAAAAAACAAATGAAATCAGCCTTTAATATGTAGCACGTATCTCATTGAGATGGCAAAAATATATTGATAACAGTAGTTTCCACTTATGATTAATCAAAAAATTACATAATATAATACTAGTGGCATTTCAACTTACAGGCAGCAGAAAGTTTTCCTGGACATGTTGTATTATGCGATTTTCAGATAGGGAAATATTATCAATATTTGTATCCATATTTTGAAGGGACAAATAATGACTATTAATTTATATTGGTCAAGAAGCAAACTATGAACTGGACCCCTTTAAGTGTAACAGCCAATGTGTAGGATAAAAAATAGTCATGCCTTAATTGGAAAAATGTGCAGGCCAAATACACCCAATTTCAAAAACTTCAGGTAAATATTATCTCAAAAGCTTCTGGTAGACCACCCAATTTCAGAACAAGAATTTGTGAAATGGTGGACCATGAATAAAATTGCATGTTTGGTTCCCTTGAATTGCTAGCTATCTGATATCCTGGCTTCTTGGGTCTTAATACTAGAGACATTTTCATTTTAGTTGGAACTAGCATACTTCAGATACTAATTACAATGAAAAGAAGCTGAGCAACCAAGAAAACAAGATTCATCTCTATTAAAAAGAATGAATTCAAACCTGTTGAGCAATGCGAATACCCTTCTCTTTTTGATTCAAGATTTCATAGTGGAAAACAGAGCAATTGAGTGCAAGTCCCAGCCTTATTGGATCTGACGGTCCGAGATGGCAGGATGCAGTTTTCTATTAATGAAATATCAAAATTAATCGCGGAAAAGCAACATAAATATCCCAAAATGGAAATGTCTAGTTCACTAGATTCGCAGCTTAAAGAAAAAGGCATTGCAGTAAAATTAAATGGACAACTTTCAAGAAACTGACACGGATAAGAAAATGGTAATATATCGTCAAGAAAATCAGTGCGAAACAATGTAGGGTCAATAACAACAGTAGATACACCATCAGACTAGATTTATCAAAAACAAGAAATAGAAACATCTTAAAAGCATCACTTAGTATCAATAAAGAGAGAAATGTTTGAATGATTTCAATGATTCAAAAGCCTCATACATTCATTTCAATTTTTCTCCTTGTATAACATTATCAAGTAAACTTTTGCACTTCAAGAACGGAATCTCATTCAATGTTCACTGTTATTAGCCAATATTAACCTTATTAATTGTTATATCCAGTACCAAGTTGAATTCAGCTGGATTATATCAGAATCCTCTGAATCTTTTCTGTAAAAAAAAAATGCAAGAACCCTACAGTTCCTTGGCCTGAGCCATTTTATACTTCAAGTATGAAATCTCCATTTATATTCGCTGTTATTAGTCAATTCGATAGTATCAGTCGAATTCAGCTGGATGATATTGTGACCTTCGGCCTAATTCTCTGAATTCTTCCCTGGATTCAACAATCCCAATGTAAATTACTGAAAATAAATTGCAAGAACCCTACAATTTCTTCACCTGAGCCTCTTCATAAGCCTCCAATGTCTTCATCGCAGCCTCTTTTCTTTCATCTCCAGCCTTGATCTCCGCAAGATACCGATTATAATCCCCCATCATCTTATAAAAGAACACCCTCGACTCGCTGGTCGTCACCATCGGTATCAAATATTCATCAAGAAGCTCAAGAATCCTGTTGCAGATTCCTTCAAGCTCCGCCTTGATCTCTCCCTTGTACGCTTTGATGAGCTTGAGCTTCTCTTCGTTCTCCTCCTCCTCCTCTTTCTTCGAGAGGAAGATCAACGATGAGCGGCGAGTGGTCACCAGCTTCTTGTAGGCGAAGGAGATGAGCTTGCGCTCCTCGGCGGTGAGATCGACATTGATCTCGTCGCCGGTGAAGAAGACGATCATCTCCTCCATGATGGATACCACGTCATCGTATCGCTCCGCGAACTCGGCGAGCTTAGCTCGGTACACGCGGTCCTCGCGAGAGATCACCGTGGGATCGGATTCCGTTGCCATGGCGGATGTTGATGATGCTGAGATTTGGGAGTGTAGGGTTTCTTGATTTCTTTTTTTTCCCGCGCTTTCCCCCCCTCTCTCACTCTCGGTTTGTTTCGTTCGACTGTATCGTTCGTTTATCTTTGTCCGGGGAGGGGGGAGGGGGGTGGCTTATAAATAGACCCAATTCCTCCCGCGTGTGAGAATCTGTTTTTAGCGGCACGAGCGTGTCACGTGCCAGAGAAAATCCACCCTGGCACTGGCAGTTATTTTCTATTTCTCGTCATAAAAGCGTGATATAAGTCTTAGTTATAAGTTGACTACACACCCTTTTCTCAAAGCTTTAACCCTTTAATAAATTATAAAAGAGACTTGCTTTGGTGCTCCTAAAATATAATTTTATTTAATTTTTATTTAAAGGGCAAAATTGTAATTTTCGATCAATATTTCTTACCCCCGGATCAGACCCGTGTCTTCAACCTCCGCTTCCTGCTCTCCGAATCCTCCAGCCTCATCAAAGCAACTGCTTCTAGAAACCGCGACAGCGATCTCGGAGAGCAACCTCGAGGTCGCCGCCGCGAATCTCGCCGCCCTAAAACGCGCGGGGAACCCCCGCGGCGACCCAGACCAAAGGCTGGCCTTAATGATGATCTCCGCTCTAATCGCGCGCATAAACTCGCCGCCGTCGGCGACCCTAACCCCGCCGGCTTCAGAGCTCTGCAGTCTAGAACACCAAACAGCGATCCAGATGCTCTACGACGCTTCCCCCATCTTCAAACTCGGCCACGTGGCGGCCAACTTCGCGATCCTCGACGCGGCAAGAGATCACCCGAAGATCCACATCGTCGACTTTGATCTGAGCCAAGGAGTCCAGTACGCTTCGTTGATTAACGCCGTCTCCGAGAGATCCCGTCACCGCTCGCTCACGCTGCTAGTGAACATAACTGCCGTTTGCGACCCAACTATGCCGTACAATACTCCGAGCACGGTCAACAACCTGAAGATCATCGGCGACAAGATCGTCACGCTGGCAAGCCGGTTCGGAGTCCCGGTCCGGTTCAGCGTTTTGAACCGGAGGGCGTCGGAGCTCGAGCGGGCGTCGCTCGGGTGCGAGGCCGGCGAGTGCTTGGCGGTGTATCTGTCGTTCGCTCTGTCGAGGATCGCCGACGAGAGCGCTTCCCCGGCGAACCCGCGGGACCAATTGCTCCGGCGAGTGAAGTCTCTCGGACCCGACATTGTCAAGCTCGTCGAGCAGGAGATGAACGCCAACACCGCGCCGTTCGCGACCCGGTTCGGTGAAGCCTGCGGTCACTACGGCTCGGTCCTCGATTCGCTCGACGCGACGATGAGCCGGGACGATCGGGGCCGGTTCAGGATCGAGCGTGCGCTCGGTCGAAAGGCTAGCAACTCTGAGAAGGGACACACCTTTGTCTTGAAGGCAAGCTGCAGTGGCTAAGCCAGATGGTCCTGCTCCGATGATAATGGGTCCAGGAACCCAAAATTGCTTCGGAGTTGATTCCACATATCCAGCAAGTGGCTCATTAAGATTGAATTCTAGAGCTGCGCACGGGTTTTCGTTTGTAGATTAGTTGGCTATAGAGGAGTAAGCAACTGATGACTTGGAATCAAGGAATATTGTAGGAATTGCAAGTGGGTTTCAGATTCTGAGGCTAAAATTCTATTGAAAACTGTGGTGGCTTCAGTTGTGATTGCAGGAAATAAAGGCGGCATGAGGAAGACGGTGGCAAATAATCTAAATATAACTGCCCCTCAAAACCAAATAAATTACCAATTTGGGTGTGGTACTTCACGAAACCGATCATAGCGTTTTATGGGGAAATAAGAGAGCGACAATATCGGACACTAATTACCATTTGTGCCATGGGTACTCCAAAATTGATTTTTTGGAGCACCGAAGTTGTCAGCATTATAAAAATGGTTTTTCAGATAATGGTTCCTCACGATCTTTCGTATTTTTCAGTTAGTCCACCAAATCATTATGATCTGCTACTAAACCCTTATGATTCATATAAATTGTCTCGAGAGTATCTCTGGTGTCCAATTTCTTTACTTTAGTTGGGTTAATGATCAAAACGCAACGTACATACCCCAAGCTCATTAAAATTTCTATGTAGTCAAAAACCTCTTCCATATTGGTCCATTACCTGTTTAATATTTTGGAATTAGTCTCTCAAATCAATAAAATTTCCATGTAGTCCTTCAACGTCTATGAATTATTTCAAACTGGCCTTCGAAGCTAGCTGTCATTTGATTTGGGAAGAACATTTCTTTAATTTTATGAATTTCCAATTGTAACTCTCTGTTTAATTAAGGTACTCCACATACGTATCCGTCTATTTAAACCTCGAAACTGAGTTTCTAGACCCAATTAAACCTCTATCTTCGCTTGTTTCTTTACTCTTTTTTTCTTTTTTTTAGAAGTTGAGAAGAGGACAAGACTAACTGAGTCTAAAAATATAATTGAACTAGGGTTAACAATCTAAAAGGGGTAACCAGGAGCTAATTTGAAATAACTAACAAGATATGATGGACTAATAACAACTTCAATGATTTAAGTGGCTACCGGAGAAACACGAATGTTTTAGGGACCGGAAGCTAAAAAGCTCCTTAAAAATAACGAAAACCAGATGAAAAACCTCAGAGCCCTTAACCCCGTTTTCTTCAGTCCACGACTCTGATGGAGCTCTGCTTCTCTCCTCATCGCTCTCTTCACGGCCGACTCCCAGGCCCAATCCACAATCGAACCCCCTCAACTCCCATTTCCTCTCTCCTCCGTCTGCAATCGCCCAAAACCCTCGCTTCCCTTTATAAATCAGGTAAATTTTATGATTTCAGGTTTATTTTCTTCTTCTTCTTCTTCTTGATTATTTGTTGATTTTGTTTTTTGGTTTCAGGATTTGGGCGCAGGGATGTGCGAGCTCTGGCGTCGGAGGAGAGGACGTCGACCGTCGTGTCGGAGCTCGACCGGAGCTCCGATGACACGGCGGTGAACAAGGGCGAGGACGTAGGAGTTGGTGGTGCGTCGAAGAGTGAACCTGCGGAGTTTTTGAACAATCTCGATCTCAAGGTAACGGAGAGCTCCTCGCGTTTGAACAGTGATGGTAAAAATTAGGATGATTAGGGTTTTGGTGGCAAATGAAGGAAAAGCTATTGTGAGCCCTAATGTAGATTTTATGAGGATTTTATTTGATGAGAAAATTTGACCTTGATGAATGAGGAATTTTTGCATTCTTAGAGCATTTCTATACTCGTACTACTTGAGAGTATTTCCTGAAACTAACAGGGAATTATTCTAAGAATATTTTTCGATGCTTAAATGGGCTAGATATATTAATGTTCTTCTAAGAATCAAACAACCATGCCGTTTGTCTCTGTGACAGAGTTGAATGAGACCGTAGTAATCAATATCATCAGCCAGTCCATGTAATACTGGAGTCAATAGTCTTCTGGTCATCAATTTGAGCTGAGGGCATTGATTCCTTCAATGCTTCTTCATTAGCGCTTTGAGTACCAATAATCTGTCAGTTGTGTTGACATCATGCTAAATAGCGTACGTTGATTCAGTTTCACTGCAGTTCATTATATCATCCACCATTTGTGTATGCTAATTCCAGTTCAATAAAATCATCCACTAGCCGCTGTACAAATTTTCAGCAATGTCCTTCTAGAAAGGCACTTTGCGAAACAAAATTTCCTTTCTGTTGTTGATGGCATCACGGTATAATCTGAGTGATAAACTATCTGCAAGGAACCTGAGCTCATCATCCACCTTCTCTTGTACTTCCCTAACTCCGTGCATGCTTTTAGACAATACCCTTTTTATCGAGGCATGTAGAGTGACACACCCACCCACCCACCCACCCTTTCATGCATGCAAGCACGTGTTTTATCACCTTCGGCGGAAGGATATTACGTACATTTATAGGTGGTCCATGGAAAGAAAGGTTGATAGCATAACCCGAGATATCAATTTTCTCTGGTGGATTTCGTCTTAGTTTCTAGATTATCACATTGCTTATTTAATCCTTTTTCTTAATCCATGTATCATTTTCTTTAAAAAAAAATCCTACATTGTTGGATGGTCAGCTGCTTGTAGCCTTTTAGGTTGGTCAATTGGGCTTAATATGCAAGAGACATCTAAATAGGGAAGAAATACAAACTATTTCAGGGCAAATGACTACACGAATGGTGAAAAAAAAATCAAGTTATATAGATACATACAAGGGATTTAAATGAATCCAGATGGGCAATGGCCTTCCCTCGAGCCCTCTTACATCTGTCCTAGGTCATTAGACATGCAAGGAACCTGAGCTCATCATCCACCTTCTCTTGTACTTCCCTAACTCCGTGCATGCTTTTAGACAATACCCTTTTTATTGAGGCATGTAGAGTGACACACCCACCCACCCACCCACCCTTTCGTGCATGCAAGCACGTGTTTTATCACCTTCGGAGGAAGGATATTACGTACATTTATAGGTGGTCCATGGAAAGAAAGGTTGATAGCATAACCCGAGATATCAATTTTCTCTGGTGGATTTCGTCTTAGTTTCTAGATTATCACATGGCTAATCTAATCCTTTTTCTTAATCCATGTATCATTTTCTTAAAAAAAATTCCTACATTGCTGGATGGTCAGCTGGTTGTAGCCTTTTAGGTTGGTCAATTGGGCTTAATATGCAAATCTAAATAGGGAAGAAATACAAGCTATGTCAGGGCAAATGACTACACGAATGGTGAGAAAAAAATCAAGTTATATAGATACATACAAGGGATTTAAATGAATACAGATGGGCAATGGCCTTCCCTTGAGCCCTCTTACATCTGTCCTAGGTCATTAGACATGTTTGTCAATGTCGGAAGATAGTTGAGTGATAAACAGTCTCTGGGCAGAGATTTTCCCTATTCCCTCATTAGGACATGTTTTGTATCTTATAGATCTTTGTTCAGGTTCTGTCCAGGTGAATCCTAACTGTGAACTCTATATGATTATAATCAACATGCTTGTGATGCAGTTGGACTCTGATTATGCTTATTCCGTCCTCATATACGGGACTGGTGCTCTTGTTGCTGTGTGGTTCTCATCTGCAGTTGTTGGTGCCATTGATTCCATTCCTGTGGTAGGTTCCAATTTTGAGGGCTTTGATTCCCCCCCACCCCCACCCCACCATTCTCTCTTTACATTTAGTGTGGACAGCTAAGTGGTTTATATTTAAACCAGGTCCCAAAGGCATTGGAAGTGGTAGGTCTCGCCTACACAATTTGGTTTAGCTATCGGTATCTAATCTTCAAGGTGACCTTTCAAACTCTTTTGGTTACTGTTTAATATTGATCTATACTATATATTAAAAACATTATGAGTGTATGGAGTTTTAGAAAGAAAGGTGGAAAATGTCCTTCATTCCACTACAGACATTTTGTGCTTTTTTTGTTTTTGGGTTGACATTTCCCAAAATACTATCTCTCTCATACGCACAACTAATTATACACACTTCACATATTCCCTCCTAATAAACTAGTAGAAATTTAGAAAACTTTAAATAGCTGTAAAAACAGAGTGAAATTTTTAAGTATTTCATAAGGAGACCCAAAACTCATTGAGTTATTTGCATAGACCTTTCAAATACAAATTAAGAATAAAATAAAGTAATGCAGGTATAATTATTAGAAATGCGAATCTCAGATTTTCGAGAGGATTTTTCCATAAGAAAGTCCGCTTTAACATTTTTCTTTAATCGTTGTATATAGTTTTAGAATGGGAATGCTGAGTTATTTGTGCAACATAAACTTTCCAAGTACAAATACAATTATTAAAAAAAGTAGGTGTCTTTGATTTCAAGGGGGACTTTAATTAGAAATTTTAGAAATATAAAATAGATTCAAAACAATATCAAACCACAGTTTAAATGGAAATCTAGCTTATGGCTATCCATTTTTTCCTAATATAAGTTGTATAAAGGTAAGTTTTAGTATCTGGCACGTGCTAAGCTGCAATAAGATGTGATACTAGCAATTACATTGTTACATCGCAGAAAAACAGGGAAGAGTTATTTGCAAAGATTGAAGATCTGAAGAAGCAAGTCATCGGGACATCTGATAATTGATGTGTGAGAAAGGAAAATTTGCTCATTTTTGTTTCCCGCATAGAATGTCAAAACTGTTTTAATAGCTAGTTGAATTCGATGATGATGATGATACATTTTAGTTTTATCATTGAGAAGCATGTTATGTATGATTTTTATGGTTTTGCTTGTATGTTCGGTGAGATGGTTTTTGGGCTCTCCATGTGCTCTTGGTCTTGGGCAATTACTTATCCCTTTGAGAACATTCTCTGAAATCAATATAGTGGATTGTTGGCTCCCCTCTGCTGCCTGGTCATGAGGGTGGTTTATGTTGTGATTGATGAATCAGTTCTTTTAGCCGTGTTTTGTCGATGGCTTTCCGTGTGCCTATTTCTCCGCAATGTCACTTTTTCCATGTTGCTTGAAGAACATAATTGCCGCATACTTCAGATATGAGGAGTTGGTGCCCCCATTAACTCGAGATTCATCATGTAGCGTGCACGCACACATTAACTCAGAGATTCATCTTGTAGCATGCACGCGCACAGTGGTTGCATTCGTTTCACCGTCCGATTGTGAGTGATGCACAATAAGCGTCTGAAATTAAACATGGAATTTAGCTTGCATTCGTTTCACCGTCCGAATGTGAGTGATGCACAATAAGCATCTGAAATTAAACATGAAATTCAAAAATTAGCGTCTGCGTCGACTAAGCAAAGATTCTCATGACGGCTGCTTGAGAAATTGAACTTGTGGAGAACAGTTTCAGATAATTTCTTAGGATTCAACACTAGTCCCTCAGCGTTGAGACCGTCCGCAAAACTCTGCAATCAGAGATTAAAGACAGCAATGAAGTTTTTACCCGGAGCTTTCAACGGTCATTTGCATTAATCGATTTTTCCCCATTAAATCATTAGTAAGGAAAAAGAATTTAACAACTTGAGCAGAACAATCAAGCCCCTCCTATATCAGCTAGGGGCAAGGGAACATCAATCTTACAATTACATCGTGCCTATGCAGAGTCTAAGAAAAGGATTCAAGAGCTTCTCAAATTAGTCCCCACATAAAAGCATGCTCTGGTACAACAAGGATAAGCATCCCATCACCCCTCTATACATTCAACTGGTCCAAATCTAAGAGAAAAGGCACTAATAACTGAATTACATGGTATGGCTCCTCAGAATTAAGAAGTTTACGATCTTCCGTGCATCGGACTGCGCAATCACCCTGCTACATTACCATACTGAAAATCTGTTCCCAAGGCCATTGCATGTCAATATCAAGCTCTTGTAGCGATTCAAGTAATCCTGGTATTCAATTGCTGGTGTCAGTAAGTATCAGTAAAGAACTGAGACATTATGTATCAAAAGGAGAACCGTCAGCAAAACATTACCTTGCGACATCCCCTGCTAGTTTAATTTTGTTTTTGCATAGAATTTCTTTAAGAAGAGAAACTAAAGCAAGAACTAAGCTTCAAGACTTTTGAGGTTTAACTAAAAAGGGGAATATGGGATGAATTGTACTCTGAAGAAACTTCTCTCTCTCCTTTTCCGAGTATATTCAACGTGCCATTGAAAACTTGGATGTCAAATGATGCTGGAGAAATTTCTACAGTGAGTTATAATTACTCATGGGTGTTAATGTGTTATTCTTTGAAGTGGACACGACGCCTTAATGTAATATGTTCTCTTACCATGCTATTTTGAAATTAGACACTACAAGGAAACTTAAACACAAATCTTCAAGGTCAGCTACAAACCCCTCTTATTCATTTGAGGGTCATTTCATCTGTGTGTTAAGAGCCAAGCATTCTAAGGGATCATAACCAATTTTCACATTGGTTTTTGCTATACCTAATGCAACATCCTCCTTTATCCCTACTAAAATGGGGGAAGTGGAAAATGATGATAAGAAAAGTTTAAAAAAAAAGAAAAGAAAAAGAAAAAGAAAAAGAAAAAAAATCAAACAAACAATAGAGATAAGATAACAAATAAGACATAAGAGGACTGATGAATCTCCCTTCTGGAGATCATAAGCAGGATACAGATTCATCCTCCTTCCTCCATCTACAGAATATCAAGCATAATTATAACACAAAATAATAATAATAATAATAATAATAATAATAATAATTGGATGCATAACTTGCAGTACTTTGTCTATGCAAGCAAGCATGTTCAAAGCTATAAGATAATAGTTCTTGGTTTGTCTACATAGAACTAACGCATCCTTAAAGTAAAGGTTAGAAGCAACTTTAACCTCATTCACAATCAGCAAGAGAGATCAGGTGTTCTTATACTTCATAAACTGGAAAGTATCATCACATATCTCGAAATGTAGCAACAGTTAATTGAACATAGCATACAAAAGAGATTGGTACCAACCGTGGTATTATAATCTAGGACATAAAGAACTCCTTTCCTGTCATATTCTCGTCTTTTGGCAGGATCACTCAGAACTGTAAAAGAAAATTTTCAGACGGTTAACCAGAGTAAAACTTATACTATGCATGCAGAAATGTACAAAGATAACAATACTGCCAAAAGAAATATGGACGCAAATCAAGCTTAAAAGTTAGTTTACAATATAAATAGGTCTCAAATGTCTGCAGACGAAATACAAAAACAAATCAGCATAATGCTTGGTTTCATGAATTATTAAACAGTTCCAGATTTTCTTCTCTTCAAAGAGAATGAAAAAACAATCTAAAGAATAAAAAGAAAGAGGACCCTATTATTTCTGATGGACTTATTAAGGTGATTTGCCAATGGCTTGTCCTTATTATTGATTTTGAGATATTCCTCCAGTGTCAGGTGAAAGGACTATAAATCTACTATATATACCGTGATATTCTTGTTTATACATGTCTATATCATGGTCATTGTTACGAAACATTATCTTTTGATAGGCTGACTAGGACTACAATCCTAGTGTTAGTCACCTATGGGTTTACCATGGGCCTAGACCAGTTACTACAAATTAATGCGAAGTATGTTCTACAAGATTGTTTGAAGACATGAAAAAATCCAGAGGAAGCATGACACTGAATTTTGAAGAAACTGACCAAAAAAGTAGATTCTAGACATTTTGATCATTCTGAGGTAACTGAGACATGGAACAATAACAACCACCACCAAGCCTTTATCCCAAATGTTTGGGATCGGCTACATAAATCTTTTTTTAACATTCCATTCTGTTATAGGTCATTTCCTCCGTTACGTTAGTCTTAATCATATCCTTCTTAATTACTTCTAACCAAGTCATTCTAGGCCGACCTCTAGATCTCCTAACCCTATTAACTCTAATATTATCACTTTTCCTAATCGGTGCACTAAAGGGTCTCCGTTGTACATGATCAAACCATCTTAATCTATTCTCTCTCATTTTATCCTCAATAGGCGCCACTTCTAATTTACTATGGATGCACTCATTTTTTATCCTATCTTTTAATGTATACCTACAAGACCATCACAACATTCTCATTTCTGCAGCTGCTACACTCATTTTTTGAACATTTTGTTTTAATTGCCCAATATTCTGACTCATAAAACATAGTTGGTCTTATAACCGTCCTATAGAATTTTCCTTTTAGTTTTATTGGTATTCTACGATCACATAAGACTCCCAAAGCACTCCTCCATTTTAACCATCCTAATTTGATTCGATGCACAATATCATCTTCTAGCTCATCATCATGTCTAATGATAGATCCTAAATAGCGAAAATAATTAGTTTTAGGTATTTTTTGGCCATCAATATGTACCATAGGCTCTCTTTTTTTCCTAGTTTTACTAAAAATGCATTCCATATACTCTGTTTTTGTACTACTAATTCTAAAACATTTAGACTCAAGAGTTTGTTTTCATCTTTCTGCTTTAAAAATAATGTCTCTTCTAGTTTCATCAACTAATATTATATCATTAACAAATAACATACACCATGAGATTTCATCCTGAATGTGTTTAGTAAGTTAGTCCATAACTAATGCAAAAATATAAGGACTTAAAGTTAACCATTAGTGTAAACCTATGGTAATAGAAAATGGTTTAGTCTCTCATTCATTAGTTATTACTCTAGTTGTTACTCTATCACACATATCTTTAATCACATCAATATAAATACTAGATACATATTTTTTTTAACACCCATCATACTACCTCTCTAGTTACTCTATCATAAGCATTTTCTAAATTGATAAAAACCATATGTAGATCATTTCTCTTCTCTCTATATCTCTCCATCAACCGTCTCAAAATATATATAGGTTTCATAGTTGACCTCCCAGACATAAAATCAAATTGATTTTTAGATATACATGTCTTTTTTCTTGGTCTTTGCTCAATTACCCTCTCCCAAAGTTTTATAATATGACTCATGAGTTTTATACCTCGATAAATTGAATAACTTTGTATATTCCCTTTATTCTTATATATCGGTATCAAAGTACTAATCCTCTACTCATCCGGTATTCTTTTCATCTCGATAATCTTATTAAATAATTTAGTTAACCATCCTAAGTCTATATCTCCAAGACATTTTCAAACTTCAATAGGGATATCGTCCGGTTCTACGGCTCGTCCACTTAGAATCTAAGCCCTTTGAAGCGCCGGTAGTTGTAGCTGTGGGTAGGGCTTTCGTTCAACTCGCTCCGGGTTCCGATCTATATGACTAACCTCCGGGCGGTACAAAGTAAACCTCTTTTTATTTTCTTTAGAGCATCTTTAACCTCGCTAATCCTAATTTTTCGACAATATCTATAGTTCCTATCATTCATTATAAGGTCAAAATCTCTATTTTGCTCACTTGTTTGGTTATCATTAAACAATTGATATAAGTAACCCCTCCACCTCCCTTTTATTTTCCCGTTGGTCACTAAAACTCATTGATCCTCACTTTCAATACATCTAATATTACTCAAATCTCTACTCTTCCTTTCTCTAATCTTAGCAAGCTTATATATATCTTTATCTCACTCCTTATATTCTAACTTCTTATAAAAAATTTCATAAACCTTGTATTTATTCTCACAAATCGCTTTTTTGCTTCCTTCCTTACTAGTTTATTTTTCTAAGTTTTCCCTACTCTTACATTTTTGCCACTATTTATATAAAGTTTTCTTCTCTCTAATAACCTTTTGTACACTCTCATTCCACCATCAACTCTCCTTACCATCTAATCTACAACATTTAGATTCTTCTAGTATATTTTTAGTCACTTTCCTAATACAAGAAGACATGCTATTCCACATAATATTAGTCTCATTATCTATGTTTCATATATTTTCTTTCATTATCTTATCTTTAAACTGTATTAAATTCTCTCCTTTTAAATTCCACCATTTAGTTTTTAGTCTTTTTTCACGTTAATTTTTCTACTCCACTTTTTAATAGATATGTCTAAGACCATCAATCTATGTTGTGTACTTAACTCTCTCCTGATATAACTTTACAATCCTTGCATATTAACCTATCCGCCATTCTAGTAAGAAAAAAAAAATCTATTTGACTATTATTAAAACCACTTTTAAATGTTATTAAGTGTTCACCCCTTTTTCTAAAAAGTATATTTGCTATTATCAAATCATACGATATTGCAAACTCTAGAATTGATTTACCCATATCGTTGTTATCTCCATACCCGAAACCTCCATATATCCTCTCACATCCGTTATTATCCTTACCAACATGCTCATTAAGATCCCCTCCTATAAGTAATTTCTCTCCAACCGAGACATGGAAATGACGCAAAATATTAACACTTCTCGATATATACACTGTGATGAAAGGCCCATACATCTCAATTTGATTTCATCCTTAACCTGTCTAAATATACACAATGATTTAATCATGACTGGTTGCTTAGTTATTGAGGAAACAATAAAACAAAAAGGAGTCACACATGTTATCAAGCAAATTAGTGATATCCCTATCTTGACATTTAATGAACTTGAAGTTTTAAACACAGCTGATGTTTTAGCCCCATAACTACACAAGTCTAACGTAAGTATTAAATGTATAGCAGGGGAAAACGTTAAGGCATATGAATTACCTATATGCAATGGTAGAGATCTCTGAAAAATGTTAGGGCGTAGAATAGTAAGAACAAAGGATGATTTCAACATATAATTCAATTAGAAAACTATACCAAATCTTGTACAGTAAAGTCAATATGGCGGAGAAATTTTAAAACAATGTTTGGTAACATTTCCAGAAATAGATCGCAAAGAAATCCCTTTCAAATGAAATGATTGAGTAGATAACTAAGGTACTGTTCCATGCTTCCTTGGATGGTCTCAGACGAAATAAGGAACTCACCCTTGTAAGCCTCATTTATCTCCTGAAACCTTGAGGTTGCATTTTCCTCGCCCTTTTTCTTATCTGGGTGCCATTTCTTGTAACAAACAAAATAAAAAGATACAACTTTGTCACAATAAATCAACAGCCTGGAGACTTTACATAATTATACAGGCCAAGCAAGGAATGACTTCACTACAAAGAACAAATAAAATCTACCAACTTGATGCGTGTGGCTGGTCTTAAGTTTTAATCAGATGAAAAGGCCTCTGAAATAAGCCGAATATTATAATCAACAAAGTTAGGCAACGTGCTACTCTTATGTCAAGAAGGGGTTGAATAAATGTACAACAAACGAAAAAGTTAAGTACTGACCAATGCCAGACGAATATAGTTGGACCTGATAGTTTCTTCAGTAGCATCGTAGTCAACTTCCAATATTCGGTAGTAGTCCTGTAAACCATTTCTAGTAAAAGTAAGCACCAGGACTCAAAAGTTCACATTAGATAGAAAGGTTTTCATGGACATCATATTAATATTGCTTTATGGTAGAGAAACTACCAATTCAAATGGATTAAGAAGTAAGAAACAATAAAACTATAGATAAAAGGAAACTAAGATTACAATTTTAAGACAACCTCAGCAATCATATAAATGTTTGATGATTGTATGTTTAATTTCTCCCTATTGGAACAAATTAATGCCTCACATTAGAGAATAGATAAAATAGAAATAAAAAAGTTCAATGATGACATCTTAAAACAGTCAATGGGATGTTATTTGAAGAGTCAATGATTGATGGGCTGTGAGGATGACAAGGAGATTGTTCAGCAAGAGGACATTGACGAGTTTGGACCAGAGAAGATTGGTGGCACGGTCGCATGAGAATCATCAGCAAGGTTCAGGTTGATACAGGAAATGCATCGATATCAGATGATCTGGTGACTCACAGAAACCAACGTTCCACTTAGTGCCAATGACACCAAAAAGGAAGTGAAGATAATAGACGAAACTGAATAAAATTTCAACAATTTGATCGAAAGAAAAGAGAATTATGGAGACACCTCACTAGTTTTAATAGTATGCGACAATGAGGGCATAGAAACAAGTTCATCCATTAGGATAATAGTGTTGCGGCGGGTAAGATGTACATATATTCGGAAGGTTATACACAATCAAATTTTGACAGAAAAATTATGGAATACCCCCTCTAGTTACCATCACCTTCACAATGACCCCCTTCAACTTCTGATGTAGGACGCTTAATCTGAGTTGGAGTCAATTTAGATTAGGAAATATAGATTAGGAAATAAATTCAATTTTAGAGTCAAATTAGATTAGGAAACAAAATTAATTTTGATTCATGATTTGTTTCCTCTATTATAAGGAGTCTTTTTACGATAGAATTTGACACTTTTTTTTATAATTCTAGTCTTAGTAGGAGTCTTATTTGATACTTTCTATTTTTATAATTCTAGTCTTACTAGGAGTCTTATTTGTTTTTCTATTTAAGAAGAGTCATGTAACCTCAAAGAATAATAACTTTTCATCAATAAAATTTCTCTTTTCAATATTTTCTTCGTGGGTTCGAAGTTCTTCGTGGATTCAAAGATCGTTCTTTGTGGATTCAGAAAACATCCTTGGTGGATTCCGAGGTTATCACTTCTGCGCTGCGTCAATTGGTATCAGAGCCTTGTTCCTCTGATCCAATGGCAGGTGATGAAGCCCATATTTCTCGAACTGAGTTCGACGTGCTAAAGACCGAAGTTAATCAGATGAAGACTGTCATGGAGCGACTTGCGGTGACAGTTGAGCGTCTGAACACGACGGGAATTCAAAATCGCGTTGATGGCCGCCAACGACGTGATCTGACTTCACAAGATAAATTCTACAGCGATGATCATAGAGGCTACCGAAGAAAGGAGAACTATGATGCTGGAGGATTAAAAATACCATCATTCAATGGAAAGATTCATGATGATGATTTTCTTGATTGGATTGATAAAGTGGATAAGTAATTTGAGTATAATATAATCCCAGAAGATTGGGAAGTTAAATTAGTTGTCTACAGGCTTAAAGAAAAAGCATCTACATGGTGGGATAAAGTACTGATAAATCGATATCATCAAGGAAAAGATCCGGTTCGAACGTGGACAAAGATGAAAAAATTATTGAGAGATCGTTTCTTACCTTCTAACTACAAGCAATGGCAGGTGTCTCTAGTGGCAAACAACAAGATGTTCACCCCCGTAAAGAAAGATTTTACCACCATCAAGATTCATCTTGAGGTCCTTGATGTTAATGATGATATTTTAATGAAGATGAATATTCTACATGATATTGTGAGTGATGTTACACATTGATATTGTCCCGATGGAGGAGAAAGATAAAATAGAGAGTGAGACGATTGATGGTATGTGTGCATTGCTTGGTGGAGAGCTTGAGATAAAAGAGATGAAAGAATTGTGTATGGAGTATGAGGAAGAAAATTATTTTTTTGAAGCAATAATCATCAATAATTTTAACAATGATGAGATGATACCGTCGACACTAGAATATGGGAAGCAACAAGGAAAATATTTGGATGAGTTTTTCATGTCAACTATAGAGTCACATGCTGTTAGTTACATACACTTATCATGGAAAAGATTCATACACAAGTTTGATACAAAAGAAGTCCTAGCAGAGGAGGTAAAAGAACAAATGAAGAAAATCAATACCAAATACAAGGCGGATGTTGATCATTGAAAGAGAAGAAAATTATTTATCAATGAAGCTACTATTCTAACAAATATAAGCTCGGGGTCGAGCTTTTTTCAACAAATGGAGACTGATGTAGGACGCTTAATCTAAGTTGGAGTCTAATTAGATTAGAAATAATAGATTAGGAAATAAATTCAATTTTAGAGTCAAATTAGATTAGGAAACAAAATCAATTTTGATTCACGATTTATTTTCTCTATTATAAGGAGTCTTTTTAGGATAGAATTTGACACTTTCTTTTTTTTGTAATTCTAGTCTTCCTAGGAGTCTTATTTGATATTTTCTATTTTTGTAATTCTAATCTTATTAGGAGCCTTAATTGTTTTTCTATTTAAGAAGAGTCATGTAACCCCAAAGAATAATAACTTTTCATCAATAAAATTTCTCTTTTTAATATTTTCTTCGTGGATTTGAAATTCTTCGTGGATTCGAAGATTGTTCTTTGTGGATTCAGAGAACACCCTCGGTGGATTCCGAGGTTATCACTTCTGCGTTGCGTCAACTTCCTAAACTACAGGTAAGTCCAGTTTATATTTAATTTTCCAATGCCACCAATAACGAGAAGCTCACGCTCCAAGTCTTCTATTTTTCATTTTTTCCCCCTTCTCATTCTCAGTATGTGAGCTCTTGAGATACTTCAGAACGTCTAAACCATCACAATGAAATACGATTTGTATCGTGGGACTCAGGAGAGAACCACAATAGCAAGTTCAACTTGCTGCAGTCTTACCAGATTTTACTAATGATAATTTGGTGACAATGCCCCGTGCACGTGCCTGGATGTCCTCATCAGAACAACAATAGCAAGCTCAACTTGCTGCAGTCTTACCAGATTTTACTAATGATAATTTGGTGACAATGCCCAGCATTTAGCTTCATTTTACTGTTGGAACTTGATCAAGTGAGAAATAAAAGAACGATTTGCATAGTACTACAATTTTATCAGTATGATAGGAACTAACCAACCCAAGCATGGAGAAAAAGTTATGAAGCCAGAAAAATGTGAAAAATCCGATATGGGAAAAAAAAAAGTATAATTATACCTAAAAATGATGGCTTAAGAGAATTACCAGAAAAAATTTAAAACGATCATTCAACATCATAACTATATCTACATTATTTATAAGGGCTTTCTCACAGGAACCACCATTAGAATTCAGTCAGCAAAACCACCTTCAAAGGGGTTCCGGTAGCAATCAACTGCCTTGGCCTATTTTCTTATGAAATTTCGGCTGAACCCCGAAATGCCCTTAAAAACTTACGTGCCGCCACGCACATTAACATGTCTTCTTAACCAAACCTAAACTGGAACTTCATGCTGTGAGGTCATTTCAGGGATTCCAATCAAAATTTCACAGGAAAATAAGCCATGAGAACCCCTTTAAAGATCGTTGCTGAACTAAGTGCACCATAAAGGTGGTTTTCGTATTCTCACCGGCCGTTTCGATGGAAAAAAAAAAAATCCTCATAATTGATAACTAGTTCACAAGTATGGTGACAAATCTGGCGCATAGAAAAATGATATAGCTAGAGCATATAACAAAATCAAATGGAAAGCAAATAATTAAAAGGCCATTAAAGGCAGTAAACTTTTTCATGCCCGGTAAATTTTACTGCAAAGAACAACTTTACAAAATACACATTACACCAACAAAAAAGCTCATAATTTTAAGCTCAGTCCTAAATTATTTTGCCTCAACATTCATTTATCATACGATTAATACTAAATAAGAATAACTGTAGCAGGATTATTTTATAAAAAAAAATCGAACACGAAATAGGAGGAAAAAGTACCTTTTGATTGGATAAGAGCGAGAGGAAATCGAATTCTGTCGTGGATTCTCGCTCTTGCTCCTGTTTATCTTCTGATTCCCGCTCGAGCTCGTCCCAGAGCATGATCTTTGACCTCTGCAACGATAAAAATTGCACCTTTTCTCGCCTTTTCTCCTTCAAGCGGGTGCAGGAAAAACGACAGGTTCTAGAGTGAAGACGATGCCGAAGGAATTTTCGGGAGGATTTTTATTATTTTTTAGCCCTTTTCCATATTTGTCCCCCACTTCTACTCTATTTATTTTGCCCCAAGAATATTCATATGTCTACAAATGCCCCCAAAATAATTTTTCGCAAGAGAGAGAGAGAGACGCCGGGAGGACAGGACAAGTTATATATACGGCCTAAACGTGAAATTCATCTGTTGATAAGCTCAAATAAGTTTTTCACGCCAGGCCCAAAACCATTTTAATTTGGAAATTCGAACGATTCGGCTGCGTCAATGGCGTCAATGGCATTCGTACATACTGTTTCTAATTTGTTTTTAGGGGAAATTGCTTCTAGCCCCCAATTTCCATACGAGTATTCCGCCCCCATCCAAGATTTTTTCAACGCTCCCAAAACCCCCAAAAGTAAAACGATAATTCCCTGAGCCCCCAAAACACAACACCCAAATGATTAAAATATGTGAAGACCATAATATCATTTCTCTCTCTTTGCAAATACCTCGTCGGCAGCCCCGAGTACGAAACAAACTCCTTCCTCGTCAACCTCCACCCGGTACGTCTCTATCAAGACCCTGACCCTAACATTTCCCCCCAATTCCTCCCTGACCGCGTGGGCCGCCGCATCCTCAACGGGCTCCCCCGGCATCATCTTCTCGGACAAAGGCGGTTCCTGCTCCTTAGGGTTCCGTCGGAGAGGAGTTGCTGGGATTCCAGGAGAGTGGAGCCGCGGGGGTTCTTAATGCGGAGGATGACCACGTTGACAGTGTGGGTGAGGGAAGAGGAGGCGAGGAGAGAGGATTCACCGTTGGTGATCTCGAGGTAGATGTTGTTTAGGGTTTTAGTGCTCGGGGTAAGGCCCCATGAGGAGAGGGAGTCGGAGGGGATGTGAGATTTTAGGAAGGCGGCGAGGGAGGAGAGAGAGAGGAGAGGAGATGATGATGATGATGATGAGCAGTAGTTTTGTTGCTTTATTTTTTTTCCTAAAATTTGTAAAGAAGAAGAATAAGAAGGGAGAAAAGAGATTTTCTTGGGGGTTAGATGTTGGTTTTGAAGGTTATATGTTAGTTGTGAAGATGTTACGGGTTAGTTGTGAAGGATACATGTTGATTGTGAATGTCACGTGTTCGTTGTTAAGGCTATATGTTGGTTTTGAAGGTTACGAGTTGGTTGTGAACGTGTTACGGGTTGATTGTGAAGGATATGTGCTGGTTGTGAAGGTTACGCATTGATTGTTAAGGTTATGTGTTGGTTACGGATTGGTTGTTAAGGTTACGAGTTGATTGTTAAGGTTACCGAGGTTACCGAGGTTCACAACCAACCTGTAATATTAACAACTAACCCGTAACATTCACAACCAACCAGTAACCTTAACAACCAACACGTATCATTCACAACCAACCCATAACACCTTCACAACCAACGCGTATTCTTCACAACCAACCCGTAACCTTCAAAACCATCATGTAACATTCTTTCACCACCAACTTATAAGCTTAACAACAAACTTATTACCATGAAATAACAATATTATATAAATTTACATACTCTATTTTAATCTCAAGTCATAAATTTCGTTACAAGTATTCCGCCGATGAACGAACGCCATTTTCTTCCCGTCGGTGAAACTTTCCCGCCGTTTCCTTATAAGTATTCCGCCGAAAAATTCTAGTTTCCTCAAGACTTTTTCTTCGCCTCATGAAGAAACGTCGGAAAAGTGTTACTGCCGATGTTGATGCTGTTGGAAAAATTTGGAGGGAACTAGAAATTTTTCCCCCAAAACCCATTTTAAATCATCACAGTAACATCATGAAAGAGAGAGAGAGAGAAAGAGAGAGAGTGAGAGAAGAGAGAGTGAGAGAGAAAAGGTAATATGGCCTTCATATATTTTAATCACTTGAGTTTTGTGTTTTGGGGCTCAGGGAATTATCGTTTTACTTTTGGAGATTTTGGAAGCATTGAAAAAGTCTTAGGTGGGGGCGAAATACTCGTATGGAAATTGGAGGCTAAAAGCAATTTCTCCTTGTTTTTATCCCTTTTTTTCATTCTAAATGTTATTCGTAACTATATTGCAATTACCACATTACTTTCGTTATCATGTTAAAATCATGTTCCGTTACTTATAACGTTATAGCAATTGACAATTTCTCACACGTGGATTAAAAAAACTGTCTCCTTTATTCCCAACTGCTTAATGCCTTTTATCAAATGATATTTCGTTGCTCTTTTATATTGTTATTCTGTTTTTTGATACAACAACAGAACCACCTTGGCACTTCATTTCCCACGTAATCTTGTTCATTTTCACATGCTACTTTTATTACTTAGATATTGTTTTTTCCCCACTATATTATTAATACTAGGGGTGCTAAACGGTATCCGTGTCCGAGGAAATATCTGTATCCTAACACGAATATGTTACTCCAGGAATATGTTATTCATATCTATAACTGATAAGATATAATCACAGATATGGTTTTGCAGTGATAAATCCTAAGCCGTATCCAAAATATCCGAATACATATTAATCATATTGTTACAATGATTTTCGTCTTTAGATTATGTAAATGAGGTTAATTTTGACGATAAAGATATCTAATCTTTGCTTTTCAGATATAATGAACATATTAATAAACTCTTTTGCATTACATGAACTATATTTTCTTGACGGTATCTAGTTTACTCATATCTATTTTTATATCCACATGCATATCCGCGTGCGTATCTGTGTCCTTTTCCAATTTTATCAGATATAGATATGATTTTTTATTACTGAGGTACATCCTCATCCAAAATAAGTAAGCGGATATGGATATGGTAACCATCATATCCAAGCCGCATCCAAACGGAATCCACCCCTAATTATGTCGTACTCTTTCAGGACCTGAAACAAAGATTTACATTACCCAGATCATGACAAGTTCAAAGTTTAGACAAGTTTCAACCAATAAAAAAATTTAAAAAAACATCAGAGCGGTACAAATTAAACAAACATCTTTTCCTTTTCTTCAAGGACTTAACCATTACGTAGCAGTTTCAGCTGATATGAAGATGTGAAGTAACTGCTGAAAGGAAAATTTCCAAACTAGACCAATATAATATTCGGGAGATAACAAGATTCATGACAGCTCCAGCTGCCTCTGAATTCCCAAAAGAGAAGAAGTACTACAAAGTACTACAATTGCAAGTTGCAATCACCATAACCATTCTGATTTTGCAGTTACAAATTACTTAAGACCAAAAGCCTAGTAAACACAGAAGAAAAATATCGGGACACAAAAAAGGCAGCAAGATTTCTTATTTGCAGATTATTCAAGGGTTTAGTGCCCCCTATTGGTTGCAGTTAACATGATCGCGTCTAATCTTTTGACTTGCCATTTGTAGCGTTTGGTTGAAGAATGAATATAAAGATTCTGGTTCATTTTACTCAGCTACAGCACTAACGAGTACTCAATACAGATCGTCTACATTGCACTCTCCAAGGAAAACTTTGATGCTTCTTGGGGAACCACAGTGGCCTTCCGCGATGACAGCTCTGTCATTTGCAGCCATATGTGCAATTATCTTGTATATCATTTCAATCTGCAAAGCCAACAAAAGCAAGAATTAAAAAAGAAGTTGAAAACATCTCAGCATGTGAACTTTCCAACTCGTGCAACATACCATGATGCATAAACTTCTGTTTTCTGAAGCTCTATTAAACATGATTAACGCCATGTATGTATTTTGTGACCCTCATTCCAGATCAATGTAAATTTGTCAGGGGTGATAGGAACAAACAAGGAGGTATTTTCATTCCAACTAGCGGTGGCAACCCATATAAAATTTGACCCGACCAGTATAATATTGATCCAACCTGAGCCATCTAATAATTGGGTCGACCTGTTTATTAAACGGGTTACCCATACCCAACCCCAAGTGACCCATTTATTGCTTTTATAACCAATCCAACTTATTTCATGTACTTAACAAAAAATCCATAGTTAAAGTCTTCATGGTCCTATTTATCATTTGTAGATTTTTACTGTTTAGAAGTTTAGATATTTCCAGGGTGTTTTTTGTGAAATTTGAATTTGAGGTGCGTTTTTTGTAATTTTTAAAGTTCTAGGGTGTTTTTTTGCAAAAATCACTTTTGCAGGGACTTCTTCAACTTATAAACTCTGTACTCTTTGTATGTTTTGATTTTTGAGGTTTTTGGTAAATTTTGAAATTTTAAGGTGCTTTCACAATTTCTGAAGCTTTCAAGGTGTTTTATGAAAATATCAATATTTTCACAGTGCGAGTTATAGATTTTGTATTGTTTGTAAGTTTGATATTTCTAGTGTGTGTTTCTATAAAACTTGTTGAGGATGTATATTGCAATTTGCAATATGTTTTCTACAAATTTCAAAGTTTTCAGTGTTGTTTACAACTTACAGATTTTCTACTGTTTGCAAGTTTTGTAGATTTTGGAATTTCCACCATATAGGCTTTTTTTGTTATATTGTGATTCTAGGTTCACCTTATCGCTTTCAGAGCATATGATATTGAATTAAGCTATTGCAGTTACGAAGGGAAAAAAAAGTACTGCCATTTGATCAGTGGCACACAGTATCTGCACAGTAAGAAAAGTTTCAAAATAACCTCATCTGATCCTTTTATACTTCCGTAGAGATTCATATGGTAGCGTATTGATCTTTACAATATTAGAGGGTGATCAACAATTAGTGGGAAAACAATACCTCTTCAGGGCAATGGCAGCGATCTGCTATTTCGTCAAGCGTCAATGGCTCCACAAAAGATTTATGGTAATGTCAAAATTAGCATTAGCAGAATACCACCAGTATGCATCATTCCATGAGCCATAGAAACAATTAGTGCTCTACTAAGCATAATAAACTCAGATGAGATTTAGGGTAACTAAACAGCAAAACCATGAGTGCTAGGGCAGAGGACATGGGAGTAATACAACTTTAGGCTGTGACAGTAATTTTTGTACTTTGAATGGTCAATTGCTTTGGATAACAAAAGAATGTGGGTATATTAGCATGACAACAAAAGGACATCAGGTGTTATTTAATGATTCTTTCAAACAAAGAAACGTCAAAGTCAAGGGTTGCATTTTTAAGGAGATTAGATGTTTGATAACATGTATCTCTCGAAAATTTTCTGTTAATACTTCAGCACCGAATTTTAAGAAGAAATTCATGACATAAAGCTATCCTAATCCCATCATGCAAGACCTTGATTTAATAACGTCATACTGCAGGAGATCACATGTGAACAATGAATTCCCTCTTTTTTTTTCCTTCTGTCAGCATGAAGAGAAAACAGTAGCACAAACAAAAGGAAGGTAACATAGGCAACAAACCTGGCCGCATTTAGAACAGCTAGAACTCTCTTCTGAAGAGCTAAAACTTCTCCTGCAGCCTTTTTCCCAGCTTCCACACCTGCAACCAAAACAGAAATGAGAGATATTTGTTTTGTCAGGCATAAATATCAACCATCCAAAATTTCCAGGCTGGCAAACATTAAAGGCACTGAATCACAGACCAGGTTGATGATAGGCATTAATGTTGACAAGAGATGCATAAATTCCTACTGCTCGCTCATACAGTGCAATGACGGCTCCAACTGATCTAGGAGTCACCTCTTGAATGGTTACAGTGATGGACTCACGACCATTAGCATAAAGCGCTGAACGTGTACCCTGGAGAACACACCCATAAAAAAATTTACCATGTAAAAGACATTTTAACAGATAACAAATGTTTGATTGGGTGCCAAATGAAAATGAAAGGGAAATTGCATGGTAATTGTGATATCCTTTAACCTAGAAAAAGGTGAATAAAAGATTTTAAAAAAAATTGGTGAAAGTATGAGCAATGGTATGTGATCAAATGATTATTGAGGTCAGACACTGAGCTACTTTTATCTAGCTTGGTCACTAAAAAGTCGACCATAATTTCAAAACGGAAATATTCAATTCCATGGCAAAAGTGCATTTCTGTTTTAAAAGACGAGAAAATATATATAAACCAAAAGTTTTATGCAATATTCTTAACAAAAAACGTCAGTTTGCTATGTAGGCAAGTGCAATTACATTCGTGCAAAGAAGCCCGACTCACGGAAAGAATTCGTCTTGGGGAAAAACATGTGCACCGCAGAACTGATAAAGTCCAATTTTGTTAAAAAAGCTCTCTAGAAGGGTAGTGCTAGATTCATCAGGAAGTGCGGGGTTATCCTTCTAGAGGAAATCACTGATATTTAAAGATCAACCTTTTGATTGGCGAGTTGCTCACAGTAAAGATACAAGGACAGAAGAGATTGGACTTGTGATTCTCCCAAAGCACTCCCTTGAAGTTCTCTTGTAGGACTTGTTCTGAGCTGCACTTCCAGAAGTGCTCTTAACGTGATCGTGCTCATGGAATGATTGGTTAGACAGAACCTATGCTTAAACAAGTCGAATGCCCAAATTGTGGGAAATATCATTGCCAATAGAAGATAGCTTTTGAGGATTGATCTCTGAGAGAGGAACGGAAGACCGCACATGCAGGACTTGGGATCGATCATGGTAAATCTTACAACACAGTATGAGCATGGTCGTAACTCTCAAACCCTGACATGATAAAGCATGCAGCATACTATGTGCTCTTCTGTGAATCTGGGTTACCTTAGGCTATTGGCTATTGCATAGAATATCTACATCTCATTTGCCCTAGCTTTGAACATTTCGGTTGTTTGGAGAGTGTTGCAGAAAATTTTATATCAGAAAAGGCTCATTTTATATTTTTACTTATTCTTAATTTAATTGCTTTTTTATTAATTTTGTGTAACATTATTATTATAATATAGTTATCAACTTACCATTGACATTTGTAGGTGCCTTAAGAATGGTCTTTATGATCTGTAATAACTATTAAGGCACCAAAATGTTACATTCCTTATAAAAAGAAGTAAAAACACTATTGAAACAATTGGGGAAAAGGAGAATTATAGAAAAAAGAAACAATTCTCTTACACTCCTCTTCCACTCAAAAGAGAAGCATAGAAAAAGTAACAAATCTCTTCTGTAATTATGAGTTTCTGGATTGATGATAACAATTCTGGATCCCAAAGAATTAAGTCAACATCAATATTGGGGGGAAAAGAAAGAAAGATGAACATCACTTTTCTACCTATCGTATGGTGTCTTCTGTCCAAATACTCCAACCTTTAATTAGGACCTAAAGACTAGTCAAGAGAACACCTTCCTGGTAATAGATACATCAATAGAACAACGAATATATGATTTACTAACAATTCAAAATCCTCATTTATTATGAGACTGAGTAGGATGAAGTAACAGTACATATTAAATAATCAAATGAAAACATTGGATTACAGAGTATGTACTAACCTGTAACATTCCAAATAGGTAGTCACCGCAAGTTACACCGGGTTCAAGTTCCCAGTCATGACCAGGGGGCCTATCACGTAATACCTCAATAAAAGTAGCAAAAAAATTGAGGACTCCTTCTCGCAGCTGTTGAATATAACTGCCAACCAAAAGCTAGTACATGTCAGACATTGACCCCTTGATACCACAAAAAAGCATTGAACAACGTCAAGAGAAACCTACGCATGTTGATCAGTGCTTCCTTTATTTCCATACACAGTTATTCCTTGATTAACCTGTCATGAAAAACCATTTCTTACGAGGAACTTACAATTGTTTCAAGAGCTATCAGTCCGGAATATGAAAGCCATTATGAGAATGATTAAGGGTTACAAAGTTGAAGACTATTCCAAATCAAGCTACATTAAACTCAAAGGGAACCATCAATATATAGTCAAAACATTGGTTGCGCGACAAAAGGCTGCTATTACAGTATACCAGCAACAACATCAATTGTTCATAATTTCCGTGATGTATATACTCCTAGTTAGGATAAAATATGTGAACATAAGGTATATGTGACTATTTCTATGCTACAACATACTTAGCTAGGTATAGAACTATTGATTTTCTCAATACTTGACATATATCAAGGTATAGAGTTTCAAGACAACCATCCTAAATCTTTTATATTGGTTAATGAACATAAATCGATTGGGTGGATAGTGAGATAGGCATTTGTATGATGCAAACTGATGAAATCTGAACTAAGAATTCGTAAAAGCTGACCAATTAAAAGCATGATTGGTTAAGTTAGTCAATGGCTAACTATTCAGAAAGAAATAGGTTACAGGCCAGCTGGGATCTGAACTGACCTTGTCATGTTGACCTCATTGGCTCATTATACAGCCCTTCCTCACGGTAAGCCTGTAATTTTGCCTATCTCATCTCATAATTTACTTTTTGGTAGATGAAGAGCAGAATTAACTGATTTACGTTAATAGATATGAACATGATTAATCATAAAATAACACATGCACGTTCTCCTAACAATTTTGTAGGTAGTCATAACTATATCCGCCGAAGAAAAAGGCAAACTAAAATCCTACTAAGTTCATAACCAAAGGTGCATTGTGTAATTCTATGCCAAGTTCCCACAAGTGTTTCTATACTCGTCCAGCTATTTATACCATTTGTCAAAACTACTGCTGAAAAGATGCCCCCAGTGTGATCAACATGCTGCTTATTATTTAACATGGGAAACAATTGATGTGTCTAATGCAGTTAATGTACAATAAAAATAATTGTTTTTTATATTAAATTGAATGCTTGCAATTATACAATTGTATGGGTCAGAATACTCCATAAAGCAGTGTTTCTCAATACGTAGCGGGTCGTCGTATGAATTCGGGTACGCAATTTGAGACTTTGAAAATTTGGATTCGACGGGGTAACTTACTTTGAGTTCGAGATAGGATACAATGTAATTTTTCTTGGGTACGCTTATCATTTTTCAAAGTGTATAGTAGAAAATTAAAAACTAGAAAACTAATTATGCATTTCAATATTTTTTCATATAAAATACTTCAATACTTCATGTTTATAGTTTTTGAATACATAAAACTAAAACATTAAATATTAGACAGCTCTTAATAATTTTTTTCCCTATTTTTCAACTTTCTTCCCCTTAACATCAAGTGCGTCTTAATTTTTTTTAAAAAGTCCATTCTCTATTTCAAGAATGTCCTATGCATTTCCAGTCAATTCTTTTTTATTTTTTCTGCTCTTCAGAGTTCATTTTTATTTTTATTTTTATTTTCACATAGTTTTTATTGAGATGATCATTTCATTTCATGTTTTATTAACATAGCTATTTTGTAAGTTGCAATAAAGTCATTCACTCATATTGATAATTTATTGTCTTGTCTCAATATATATTTCAGTTAAAGAAATAGTGATCTAGAATTAGTTATCAACTTTGGATAACTTCCACTTACTAACAGAATACTTTCAATGATATTATTGAAACACATAAAAAAATCATTGCACATGTGCACGAAAACAGCCTTGTAAATCAATTTTGGTTCCCTCATACTTAGTAAGTGGTACGCTAATTTAGGAGAACCAATTTGTGTATTGGAGGGAATCGGTTCGTAGATGTACTGGGAATCAGTTCACATGAACCGTTCGACAATTTGAGGGGGGTCCAGGGAATCGCGCAACTATGATGTAATTGTTACCCATTCAGGATGTTGAGCTGAAACCAGGCAGAAACAGGATGAATGAAGTTGGATATAGTAATGCATGGCATCTAAAATGCCTAAATAAGAAGACTGAAGTGTTGGGATGGGGATATCTCATTTGTCATCACATGGATAACCTTAAATTTTAGGAATAGATGGCTACTAAAAGGCAGATCAAATAGATAACAATAATCAAGAAGCATCTTTAGAATTCGAATGAGAGAGGCAAGTTCATGTGAATAAGTAGATCTCTACCTCTACGATGTCCAAGTTGCAGACTACTTTATAACCAAAAAAAAAAATGAAATTATTTACAAAAGAACATAAGCAATAGTCAAGAGACTCAAGACTCAAGCACAATATATATACATACCCGATTTCCATCAAGGTCAAACTCCTTTCCAAGAGATTCCATGACCAACTGCTGCAGATATCTACTAAAAAGCAATAAGCTATCCTTGTAAGGGAGTACAACCATGTCCTGTGAATAAATAAACATTACCCAGTAAAATGAGTTAAATCCAGTGGAACAAAAGATAAGATAAGAAAGAGTTCCAAAACAAAAGGATCAACAATTGCAAACCTTAGCTCCCACTCCATCTGTTGCCCAATACCAGCACATTGCAAGCAATGCTGCGGCATTATTCTTCACCTGTTTAACATAGGTGGATTAGAAGGTTATATATGTTAAACATTAATTTTTAATATTTTCAGCAAGACTATTTGTTGTCTACCACAGGCGTCCGATTTGCCTCGTCCATCAAAGCTGCACCTGCAAGCATCTCTCTAATGTCAATGCCCTGGACAAGCAAATATAAAGAATGAATCAGAAGTCTGGCACCAAAGATTTATGTTACTGTTAATAGTACACCAATCATGCCTGTAATGCTGCCGGAAGTAAGCCAACTGCAGACATTTCGGAGGTTCTACCTCCTACCCAGTCAAACATAGGAAACCTTGCTACCCACCCCTCAATTCTAGCAGTGTTATCTAATAAAGAACCCTCTTGAGTAATAGCAACACCCTGCATAAGAATACTTTTTTAAAACTATATGCTCTGCTGAAAAAAAACAACAAAAAGAAGAAATAAAATCTTGTCGCATATTCTAGTTAAGAGGATTCGGAGAGAAACCTGTTTTGAGAAATCCAGCCTAGCTTCTCGAAAGGCTTTTTGTACTTCCAACAAACCATTTCGGGTTTCAGGGGTACCTCCGCTCTGAAATGCACATTAATATTTCAACATTTAGAGGGATTAAGTTTTTGAATTTTATACCATCTTCTGGAATAAGACTGAAAAGATAAGAAAGTGATAGTATGCAGACCTTCGAAATTACAATAACCAGGGTAGATGCTAGCTCCGATCCAAGTTGTGCAATTTGATGATCTATTCCAGCTGGATCTGTGTTGTCAATAAACCTAATCTGGCACATACAGAGGATTTAGAGGAAGCCCAAGTATCTATCAGCCTTCGGATTTCATAGATCTTACCATTACATTAGTTGGGACTTGAAACACCAAGAGACCTTGAAAAGAATGAAAACTCTAGAGACAACAAAAAAAGCTACAGAAGACTATGAAGATCAGTCAAGGTTAACTTTTGTGGCTGAACCTGATGTGTTTTACAGAGACAAGAATTAGGAGATGGGAAACAGTGGCGTTCTTTGAGGTGACACAAAAGGAATACTGGAAGAGCATAATCATGTATAGAATACATGGAAGGAAGGAGTGCTCATAAGAAATGATGGTAACACCGTACCAATGCGTCATACTGAAGATAAAAAAATAAATAGGGTGACATAAGCCAAATTTGTATACAGATAATTTGCATAAGGACATATATGCAAATGAAATATTTGACAACACGTTGAAAGCTGCAATTAAAACTTGGATTTCCTTCTACAAGTTGTGTGTGGGAGCTGCATGTAAATTAATCCAAAAGGATTCTATTATAAACTATTATTGTTTGAAGTGGGAAACTAAAAGTTTAATGACATCCACTACACTTTTAGCAAATTTTTAAACTTTCTGATAAAGTTATTGCTCAGAATTTGAACAATAAATTTATTGATGATTATAAAAGAATAGTAGGGTATTTTGCACATCTTTACCTAAGGAGATTTACGTCAAAAGTTCCATTAGGTTTTTTTTTAAGGATATCAAATGACAGTAAAGTGTTATGTTCTAGAATTACCTACACAAAGTTCTTATATTGGGATACTGTAGTGTAATGTTGCAGTTACATTGAGTTTATAAAATATCATGGATAAAAAAAAAGTACACAACGGCATTTATTCAATGAATTATTATTTTTCTTGCTTAACATTTTTAACTGATTTGGGTGGAGAAATGATGGTTTTATTGCGTTATATAAAAATATTAGCATAGTGTAAACATAAACTTTCATTAGAAGATCCTTTACAGTAAGATCTCTCCTTATTATCCTATGTCAGGGCTTATTTGGCCACACTCTGAAAAGGTTGATAGAGGCATAGACAACTCCAATGGATACTTTACAGCAAATGATAGTTTTATCGAGTTATATTAATTTAATATAGTATGACTGCAAACTTTCATTAGAAGATCCTTTATAGCAAGTTTTCGCTGTATTATGCAAAGTCAGTGCTTATTTGGGCACACTCTAAAGGTTGGTAAAGGCAAAGAAAACTTCAAGGGATCAACCATCCAAGATGAAAGTGGTGTCTGTCACATAAAATTTCTAAAGTTATCCAACAAGTCTTAAGCACCTAGATTTATGACCAGGATTGGGAATACAACAAACAACCATTGATTAGTTTGAAATGTTATGTTCGGATGAGGAAATCAAAGGCTATAGTTTGTCATGCTAATATAAGCCTTATAGTATAAGGTCGGATCAAACAAACAGTTAATAATCAATCTACTAAAAAGCTGCAATGACAAAGAGGTTATGCAGTAATGCAAACATCAAAATTACGCTGCAGAACTTTAAGGGTGGATTAATAACCAACATGAAAAGGCAAATACATATAGCTACATGTATCAATGAGAGAAAATGAATCTCTAAATTAATGAAAATAAGACGAAGGATAACTATACCTTCCATTAAATGGACTCTATGTCTGTGATTAAGCTGAAGAATGCAGAAAATGCAAGCTGAGAATATCAATAAATTGCTGATAGTTAAATATGAAGTTCACCTTTAGAGGAGGATTATCAGGAGCTAATGCCTCAGCAACAAATTGAGGCCCCAGAGCTGAACCTCCAATTCCAACAGATAAAATCTGCGTAAAGCGACCAGCTGGAGAAGAGGGGGGTCTAATCTGTTTAAAATGAAAATGTCAATACAATGAAAATAATAGCGCCGAGTGAAGCAGAACATTGCCAGTATGAGACACGAACGTGAGATGTGTGGTCTTAAAAAGACAAGGGGAAATGTGCATGTGTGCACAGTGTGTATATGTATACAGATGTGAATGCATCTATGTGTATATACACAGATGAAACAGACAAATTGCTTTTTGTACCACTGGTAATACCACTCATATGGCACAAAAAAGTGGGATGATAGCATCTCCACCTTTGGTGGACGATGTCATGCCCCGTATATAGAACTGGATTACAAATTCAAAGATTATAATAACGGAAAAAACGACAACATCCTAGTTTTAAAAGGAGCATAAGTTAACCCATAAATATACACTCTGTTCTGTACTGTCGTGAAGAGTAAATGTAGAAATGAGTCATAAGTCTTTGGTTCCCTAATTCTTGGTTAATATACCATTGCTTTATCATACTTAACAATCCAGCACTAGCTTAGCATACTCCCAAGTAAATCACATAATAAAACGTTTACTGCAACTTGCCACCAATTGCTGATAAAACCAATAGTCAACGCCTGAAACAACAACTATTGCAAGAAGTAAAAAAACTAATCAAGAAATTCTCATTTATTGTTCACTTATTATTATTATTATTTGAAGTTGACATGTAATCTCAGAAACGAAACACAAGGAAATCTCAATAAAAGTGAGCATTTTGGAGGCGAGAAAGATAATTCTCATAATGGCATCATATTTTTCATATCAAGTTTAATGCTTGCAGGGCTGAGTCGCATGGAATAAAAACATAAATCAAAACTAAATCAAGTCAAAGTTGCTTTTTTTCATCATGTTACTATAGATCAAACCGACAGTCAAAGCCTAGACCAACGAACAATTTCCAAAAAAAGAAAAAACAAATCCCCAACCTCGCCACTGATGATCTTATCCGCAAACGCACAGATCGAATCCAGCGTCTTCTCGATCTGCTGCATCAAGAACGCGTTTGGCGCCATCTTAGGGTTCCTGAGCCAGTAATGCCCGACCATCCTCCCCTCATCGGGATTCGCGATCGCCCCCTTCTCGAGCTCCCGCATCGCCTCGAACGCCCTCTGCATCCTCGGCTCCATCTGCTGCAAGAACTCGTCACTAAACCCTATCCTGCTCACATCCAGGTAAAGCCCCAGCTCCTTGTGCTGGTAAAGCCACTCGACGTATCGATGCCAGAGATCGATCGGATCTCTAGAAGGCACGGCTTTGATCTTGCTAGTGATCGGAGGAGGCGACGAGAGATCGGCGGAGACCTCGCGGGCGACGGATTGAAGAGGCCGACGGCGGAGGAAGGGGATCGGAGGAGGTGGGGGCTTTGGATCCGTTTTTGGGCGGGAACTGAGGGAGGTGGTGGCGAGGAGGTGGAGGAGAGGCCGGGGATCGAAGCCATGGTCAATGGGGCAGGCGGAGAAAGCGAGGGGGCGCGGGGTTTTGTAGAGGGGAGATGAGATCATGAGAGAGGTCAAGAGGCTAAAAGCTGCGGGCTTTCGCTTTTGTCTGTTGTGGGGTTGAGCGATAAACGATGGCTTTTGAGACTTGTGAGCGGGTGGGGAAAAGCTGAAGAGAGTTGCGGTCATGAGATATTTGGGCACTGTTTGGCAACTAAAAAAATTGTGTTATCTAAGGGCATGTTTGTTTGCACAGAAGTAATTGTGAAGTAGCTGAAGTAAAAAAATTAAAGGCTACTTCTGCTACTTCCAAGTAAAAAAATGTGTTTGGTTCTCTAAAAAACTTACTTCCAATACTTCCCTAAATGCTTATGTGGCGCCTACGTGTCATCCTTACTTCCAAAATATTTTTCCAATCCTCAATACTCAGAAATAGCTCGGAAGTAGTTGAAATGCATATTAATTATGATATAAATAATTTTTTTATTAATATTTCCTTTATTAGTTACTTCTAACAACTTTTCATTGATAAAATTACTTCCTAATAATATTTTCAAATGTTATCCAAACAAAAAAAGTAAATGAAGAGGAAGAAGTTCTACTTCCATTACTTCTAAAAATATATGAAACAAACAAAACAAATGCTATTTCCACTACTTCCTACTTCATAGCTTTGAAAGTTACTTCTATAACATACTTGTTACTTCTAATACTTCCATTATCCAAACGGGCCCTAAGCGCTTGTGTCTTATTGGCTTGGTCAATAAGCTAGTAAAGCTGTTTGGTAACAAAAAATAGGAAAAAATTATTTTAGAGATTGTGTTTTTTGCAAGTAGCTTTTGGAAAGCTATCTCAAGTAGCGTTTATCTTTGGGAAGGAGCTGTCAATTTTTTCCTTCCGTTTTTGCCCCTAATAATTTTAATTTTATATTAATAATATTACATGACCTTTTTAGTCATTTAATAAATTTAAGCTAGTTGTACATCTTCTTTTGCCAAACAGCTTTAGTCAATCAGCTAGCTACACAGCTATCAGATTTCAGCTATAATTTCACAGCTTTCAGCTAGTTTGACAGCTTTCAGCTATAATCTCGCAGCTTTCAGCTAGTTTTGCCAAACAGAGCCTTGGTGATTGGGATTTTGGGAGGGTGTAGTTTAGGATTTTCTTCCAATTGGAAATAGAATAATATTCAGCGATTTGTTGAAAAAAAATTTTTTTTACACTTTTTACTGTTGCTATGGATTTGACACCCCCCTCATTTTGAAATTGGGATCCGGTTCCATCTTAACCTTTCATTTTACATCGAAGGCCAAGATCTCTCCTACTCTCACTCTCAAAAACTCAATCTTGCCCGTTGATGTAAAATTGAAAGGCCAGGATGCTTATGAGGAAATATTAGGGCACTCTCACGAGGAGAGAATCTGGATTCCTCTTTTGTGGAGAGCTTAGCCTTAGCTACACGGTTTATCTGAATTATTCTTCAGAGCAGATTGAATTTGCATGTGTGGTCTGGTTCAGTCCTCAACCCTCAACGCATTTATAAAGGTTGTCAAACAACTCTTAGTTTAGTTTTTAGTGTACCTATATATAGGGGTGTGCAACGGTCGGTTCGATTCGGTTTTTACCAAAATTGAACAACCGAACCGAACCGTCTATAATTCAAAACCAAACCGAATTGTTGCAAGTCGGTTCGGTGCGGTTCGGTTCGGTTTGTTCGGTTCTAACTTCATCAAACTTCTTATTAAACAACAAACTGTGTTAAAGAAAAAAAAATATATCAACAAAGTAGGAGATTATGAAGCATTAAACACTGATATAATGATATTGTTTTTAACCCATAATGATTCAGAAAATGAGTTTAGGGTTTGAGTCTTTGACTCTTTGGGGACGGGTCGGGTAGGGTTTAAGATCAGAATGGGTAGTATTGCACTATATTCGGTCGGCTCGGGTCCGTTCGGGTTAAAAAGTTTTCAAACCGACTCGAACCGTCCTACTCATAAAATCGATTTTTTCGGGTCGGTTCGGATCGGTTCGGTCGGTTTTTTCGGTTTGGACCGAACCATGCTCAGCCCTACCTATATAGCAGTAGATTTTTAGTTTTGATTTGCATGCGCGTTACAATGAGTGTCAAAATGCCATCAACTAGGCAACGCACACTAACGCCGAGTATGTAAATGCCTTTGAGTTGTCATAAATTATTAGTAGTTTTCAATAAAAATATCCGAAACCATTTTCAATATAAAAAAGTAAACTACACCATCAACTGAAGCACACACACGATACACGCTTGCCTTGATTTGGACGTATTTGTCCTACTTTAAACTTTAGGGCTATATGATCTTAGAGCAAGTGCATCAGCATCTCAAGGAGGCTCCTAAGAGTGATGTGACAAGGAAAAGCTCCCAACATGCTCCAACAAGCTCCCAAGGAGGCTCCTAAGTCCTAGTTGGTGGTGGGTCCACTATGGAGCTCCTAAGAGCTCCACAAATTTGTGGAGCACTTGGGAGCTTCTAAGGGACGGGGGCAGACTACAAATTATTTTTTATTAGATTTATTGTTTTAAAATATATTTATAAAATGTTAGAGGTAGAAGAATGGATTTTTTAAATAATATTTAAGTTCCTAATTGGGAGTTTGTTGGAATATTTCTTCTAGTAGGAAGCTCCTAAGTGAGCCCCATGCTTGAGAGCACTCCAACAAGAACTCCCTACTATGCGATTGTTGTCCTTACTCTTAGTCCTCCAATATTTAATATTGTTATATTAGTACTCAAATATTTAATAGTTTGACAGTAGCCCCCAAAATCGTCGAAATCCCACTCAAATACTATTAACAATTTGAAATAGGACCCTCCATTCCAGTTTTATTATTAAAAAAACATAACCATGGGTGGGTCACTGCTTAACCATGCTTAGCTAATTAACTAAGTACCTTCAGTAATATATTTCTCCCCAATCTTTTCTCTCTCTAAATCTGTACCTACCTAATCTAAGAAAAGGGAAAAATTCCTTACTTCTCCGCGATATTGAAGACCAAGATTGCTTATTCCTCCCCAAAATTGGCATTAATGTTGTATAAGACTAAGATTTCCCCCGAAAGAGCAATTAGTTATGTAGGTAAGTTTATTTTCTCTGTTAGAATTTTGCGAATGTTTAATATTCTGTTTGTGATAGTGATGCATGGATTGTTAATTTGATGTTTTGTGGTTAAAGAAATGATAGAGATTTTTAAAAAACATCTCAAGTGGGGTCCCCTGCATTGTAACAAGAGAGGGGATGCGGCCGGCGGTGTGACTGAGGGTGTGCCTGCAGCGTCACTCTGGTGGTTAATATGACTTTAGGCTCATAGATAGAATAACCACTGATTTTGTGTTGAAAGAATAGCAAGCAAGAAATCACAGTAAAACAAAAAACTTGCAAAGAAAAAGAATAAACAAAGGGGTGTTAGTCAACTAGAATATTTTTGATAGAAGTAGAACAATTTTTATGGGATAATTTTCTAATGTGGGATATTTTAATGGGATAATTGGGAAATATATTTTAAAACATGATATTTTTAGTGGGACAATTCTAGTATAATTAAGGATGATTTTCAGAAATCAATAAGCATATAAGTCATGTATTTTGATGATCGTACTACTATTTATACATTTTAAAACTTATTATTATTATTTTAGTATTAATTAATCTTGAAGAACTATTAGATAGATTATAAGATTAACTTTTTGATTTTTTGGAATTATTATTGTAATATAAATTAAAAAAATAGTTTTTCCTTTTTTCTATTTCTTTTTTGATCTACCAGACATCATTCCATCATCTCTGAATTTTAATTAATTTTTAATAAAACATGAATTTTTAAAATTTTAAATTGAAATTAATTATATAATTCAAATATTTAATAAAAAGTAAAAATAACATTAAATAGAAGGTAATGATAAGAAGAGATGCGATCTAATTTTATGATGTGGTTTTAAGATGACGGAGAAATGAAATATGAAAACTAAAAAAGTAAATAATAAAGTTCTAGTTTTTTACTATGTAGTTCTTGCTTAAAACTTGGGACAATTTGAGAGACTAGACTCTCTCTCTTTTTTCTATATAGATTTGAAAAAAGTGGGATAAAATTTTACAATTATCTCAGTTCTACTTTTTATCCAATTATTGTTGACTAACACTGTATAATTTTATCCTAGTTCTAGTTCCAATGGTCTAACACTATAAAGTATTGTCTCACAAATTATCTCAGTTCTAATTTTGAATTCTACTTGACTAACCCCCCCCCCCCAAAAAAAAAAAAGAGAGAACATCAGATTTAACGAGGTTCGGCAAACGTGCCTACGTCCTTGGGAGCCACACCTGAAAATTCCTTGATTATTGAAGAAGATTACAAATCATCCAAACGACGATATCTCTTTCTCTGAGATCTCTCTGTTGCGCACCTATGCGGAAGCGTGCCCGCACACCGAACGAGTCCGTGAGCCACGGGAGAATAAAACCAAAACCAAGCACGAGCACAATCCAATCCAAAATACGACAAATCAAACCAAACATAGAGATATACGTGGTTCGATAATTTGTCTACGTCCACGGGAGAGGATGAGGAGATTCCACTAAATCAATGAGAGTACAAAATGTTACAATTTTGCAAAATTACTCAAATAAAACTTAAACCAAATCTCTCAACTTGCTCACAAGTTCTCCCTCTCAATATGCTCAGTCCAATCTAAATTCTCCGTTAGGAACCTGAGAAAAAAACGTGTTTTGATTATATATCAAAACACAATCCCAAAGCGAGCAGGAAACCAAAGCCCAAGGCCCAGCAGATGCGTGGTCGACTGCGACGGTCGACCGCGACACGCGGTCGACTGTGGCGGTCGACTGAAATCAAACGAAAGAACCAAAAATCCACTACAGGGTTTGGCGGTCGACCGCGACGGTCCACCGCGCTAAGCCCAGAAACCTCCCAGCCTCGTGTGCACGTTTCCGATCGACCACGCCTACCTCGCGGTCGACCGCTGGAAGTCCAAAACTGTTTTCCTGTTGTTTTTCCTGTAATCTCTTCAATTCTCCACCTCGGTGAAGTTTTTCTAAAATTAAGCCGACACCTAACAAAGAGCATCAATGCGTCGTCTCTCCAAACTCGGTATAGTGATAGTAAAAAACAGTTTTTTAAATATTTTTAATTTATTGT